TTTATAACCTAAATTAATTAATTTTATTGCATTAATTAGGCTTCAAAGGTCTTAAAATTAGAAAAAAAAGAGTTTGGAGTATCTTCTAAGTCATTATTGTAAGTTCACAACAAACAGAGTATGTTACTTTCAAAAAATTTTTCCTTAAATTTTTCGATCCAGCCTATCCTATCATAGTCTAATCTTTTATTGTTCCTTCTAACATGATTTTTTTCAAAAAAAAAAAAAAAGAAACTTAAATTATGGAAGTTTTATGATTAAAATTCTTGCAGATATCAAACGGAAAATTGGAGATTGCGTCCAATTCTTGATGAAATGTTAAGGTATAAATGTAACATGAACTTATCAAATTTACTCTCTCCTAAATTCTTTCTTTGTTTTAGCTCATATTTAACTATTATTATATATTAGTTTTGTTTTATTATTTAAGTCTAGTTTGAATTTATACTTATGAATATTTTGTCATAATTATACTAATTACTTAAATCTATTTAATTACTTTTCTAATAACATATATGCTAGAGATGATAAACATTATTTGCTATACATATATGATTTAATGAGAATTGAGTTATTTGTCTTTCCTAAAGAGCCTGAAAGTATTGATACTCCTTTAATGGAGGTAATTTTCTTTTCATACATATTAATTATTTTAATTGTTTAAAATTTTATTCTTGTATTCTTGCAAGATTAGACAAGTTTGAACTTTTTCCCTATATATATTAAGTATTTATTAAATATTTAATCAATTAACATATAACATGATGAACGATTGATTCAATAAATACTTCTTCTTTTTTTATGATATGACATAAATTTCTCTTAACCAACAGGTCTACAAGCATAGTTATGATGTTTGTATGCATCTATACGAGAAAGAAGTTCTAACAGAGAATTCTTACCTTCATATTTATAGGTATGTTACCTTTCTAATTGTTATTCTTTTTATTAATTTAATATTTAATACAAATAGTAAGTTTTCTAAACCTTTTTTATTTCTTTTTTTTTTTTTGTCTCTTTTATACGAGGAATATGATGTAAATCTTATTTTGCTTATAATATATTTGAAAGAGTAAAATAAAATCTAATTACTATTTTGAAACAGATTGCAAGAGGCCGATTTTAATGCTAAACAACTTGCCATTATGTGTTGTAAGTAACTCTTTAATTTTTTGTTTGTAGAACTAAAAGATAATATTACATATTTATATTGCACTTAATTTGAATTTTTCTACTCTCAATTCTCAATATCTATTATAATTCGTGTGTCCCATTCACATTGCTTCTTGGCTCTATTTGAATGGCGTGACTTTATTACACGTCTAGAAGACGAGATTACTATATATTACCAAATAAAATTGTTCTTGAAATTGGTAAATAATATTTTTTTAATCGCTAGAAATTTTTGTTTAAATATTAGTAATTAATTATATAATATATGATCAAATAATAACATTTGACCGCTATTGACAATATAGTTATCATGAACGTTTAAGCATAAATTTGTCTATTTTATGTCTAGATATTGTTGTACTTTTAAATACACCTATAAACTTGTATGATTGTGAATTGATTATATAATAATAATATTTTTTAAATGTATTTTCTCAACAATATTTATAATTATCTTATTAATTAGTATAACCGATTAAAACTTCTAATATTATATGTGAGAAATATTAATCTATTTCATCGTACGCATTAATACTTTTACACTCAAATGCCTCACCAATCTCATCATCAATCCAATTTTAAAAACATTACAAAAGATTGGCAACTTGAAAATCGCAATATATTGCCAAATGGCCTAACAATTAGCTTTGCAAATTTCTAATGATAAAATTGTTATATTTTCCTAATATCTCTTCACCAAGGTTTGTAAAACTTAATCCACTAAAAAATTCTTAATCATAAGCTCACCCATTCAATGTCAGAACCAAGAAGCTAAGTTTATCGTAATAATTCTTACAAGTTATGCAACTAGATGAAATCTCTAAAGGTCAGGTAGGAGTTTGTATATATGGATTAGATTTACTTAAAACTAATCTAAATTTATTTTAAATTTAAATATATAGATTGGATTTTAAACCAATTTATTTTCTTTTTTTTAAAACCAGTTTAAAACTAGTTTTAAAATTTAGATTTGGTTTAAAACCAGTTTTAGATATATTATTTTAGTTAAATTAGTTTTAGATGCTAAATTGGTATAATTATTATGTAATTAATTTTTTAATTTTATATTACATTTTTAATCATAAATTTATTTTAAAAAAATATATTTTGATGAATATAGTTAGAAATATTATTAATGTACTTTTCTTGATAATTTATTTAAAAATATTAATTAGAATTCTTAATATTTTAAAATGTGTGGTAATTTAAATTTAAATATAGTTTTATTTATTTATTTTTATGACTTTAGAGAAATTTTTTTGATTTATGTGTATTGAAATAATTTCTTAAGAAATAAGAAAGAGTAAAACAAATGGTTTTAAGTGGAGTTTTTGGATTTTTAAAAGTGATTATTAAATAGCTATAACAATAGAAGTGTCTCGTAGTGAGAGTGGAGAAAAAGTATGGTACAGACGAATGCTCCTTTAACGTTGCTTTGCAATGGAATATAACATGAATTTTGTTTTTAAGATGCTCGAATAAACAGTCTGTGCTTATTATTTCCAGAACAAACTAATTTTGAAAAATAAAACCTGGATATATTAAATGACATCTGATCTAAATATAGATAAGAAAATAAAGTAAATTTCAATATTTGATTTTATTAAAAATCTAAATTTTAAAAGTAGTTTAATTTTGGTTATAGATTAGATTTTGTATCTGAATTTTTTCTCAGCTTTATAGAGCAAAATTTTGAAGTAGTAAGTGAAAATGTGCAAGTTGGAACAAAAGAAGTTTCCAATACCGTAAAAATGCTCAATTACAAGAAGTGAATCATTTCAAACTAAATGTATAAACAATAAACAAGGCTTGACATGCATATATTTAGGACAGTATTTTTTCTACTTTTTTTTTATCTTCTTTCTTAACTTAATAAAAAATATATTTTAGTTTTTTTATTGATTTAATTTGAATCTAAACTGAGTCGTACATCTGATTGCAATGGATGAGTCTACTATTAAATTTTTTTTACATATACAAAAATTTAAATCTAAAATTTTACTTAACCAATATCGAGCTATTTGCTACTTTAGACAATATATATCGGTAAACATTTATAATAAATAAGAAAAATAAAAATTTTAGGACAGTATTTTTTACTACTTTTTTTTTATCTTCTTTCTTAACTTAATAAAAAATATATTTTAGTTTTTTTTATTGATTTAATTTGAATCTGAACTGAGTGTTCACCTGACTGTAATAAGTGAATCTATTATTAAATTTTTTTTACATATACAAAAATTTAAATCTAAAATTTTGCTTAACTAATATTGAGCTACTTGCTACTTTAGACAACATATGTGGGTAAACATTTATGACAAATAAGAAAAATAATAATTTTAAATTTTTGTAAGAAAATATGAGTTTGAATATAAATTTTAATAAATACTTGAATCACATAAAACGTTTTAGGAGGACAATGTATCACTTAATGAGTCAATTTTATAATTTTTACTATTGTTGACTAATTATAATGATTAAGTCTATGCTTAGAAATACACAAAAAATTAAAAAATTAAGTTTTGTTAATTTTAATCTTAGAGTTAAATTTAAGTATTTATAAATAGAAAAATTTTATAAAAAATATATATATTTATTGTATTAAAATTATAAAAGTATAATAAATATTTTTTTTTCAATAAAAAAGCTATCGTTAGTAATACTAAAATAAACGTAAATCCAAACGCATTTAAATATGAAGCCAAATATGCTGCAAGCTAATATATATTTGGACAAATTAAAGACTAAAATATAATTTTTATTAAGTTAGGGACAAAACTAGAAGGAGGTTACAAAAGTAAAGATTTAAAATAGTAATTTACATGTTTCTAAACGCTCTTCGTTCAATTGGAAAAAAAAAATTCTTATCATTTTGAACTTGACAACAATTCAAAAAGTACTAATATATTAAAATTATAAATTTTCAACATTCAGCCATTTAGAAACATATATATATATATATATATATATATATATATATATATATGTAAGCGTTTTCAAGAAAAAAGTAAATATATAAGAATTGATCCAGAAAGTCGGTTGATGCAATATTGTATTTAAAAAATAATTCCTTCAGTGTTTTATACAATTTAAAATGTTTTAATTCTAAAACGTTTATTTAAAATTAATAAAGACATGTATAAAATCCATGAATTACTATTATTTAACTATTTATCACAAAACTCTTTATAAGAAATGCAATATAACTTTTTGTTAATTTAAACTTTATAATGCTTCATTACTATAAATATATAACATTAAAAGTTTTATATTAATTACTACTAATAGCTCCCTCCTACCAATTAGGACAACGTGACACACAGTACATTAATATATGCATAACTAAATACAAAGCATATACTTCCAAAGCATAACCCATGACAGTCATATTCGTAGCTCTTATTATATAAACGTTAGATTAATCGAAATGCATGGCTATTAATGCATTGTAAAATGTATTTTGAAGAATTTGCATAGTAACAAAAGCTATTAACAATTACCTAATTTTCGATGTTTCCATCGTCTATCCAAAGTTTCAAATCATTTTCAGGGTCCCACGAAGCCGATGATAGTTTTCTAGTAATGGGGAAAAAATCCAAAAGACTAGTGTTCCTTAAAACTCTGGTATAATCAACAAACCAGTAAAATCCAAATAAAAAAGTAACGTGCAGTGTTATGTCTGTATTAGTATAAACAATAGTCATAGAAGTTTTAAATTTGACAAATTATTAAACACTCTTTGGAAAAAAACTACTATACAATGAATTGCTTCACCATAATTAAAAAGATGTCTTAGAAAGGAGGCAAATATCTAAACCAACATGTTATTTTACAAGAAGATCAACTACATGATATAAACAAACCTTTCTTTTTTCCTTACTCTTTCAAAAAGTCTATCAACATCATTCTACTCTTCTGTTGAACATGTTACATCCTTCCAGTTGTCACCTTGGACGATTACTTGTAAATGCATTAAATTATGTAAAGTACATTGAGAACTCTTTTATCTACAACAAAGGGAATTTTTTTAAAAATATACAACTCACTCAGGTTAGCTTTTGGTTCTCTTCGAAGAAAACAAATGGCGAAGAAAAGCAAACTTTCCTTTATTTCGGGTAGAAAAGTCAGTTATGGTACCGTTACTTGTGGCGACTTCAGGTTCATTGTCAGGTTCCGGCAACGAAGGGGACGGTTGTTCGAGTGTGAAGAGAAACGCATTGAGCATGCGGATAATCTGACTGAAGCTTGGTCTCATGTTAGGATCTTCAACCCAACATGATTGTATGATAAAGGCAAGATCAGGAGATATATCATCAGGAAGGTTAGGCCTCTCTTGCTGCAATCTCAAACGTAAACCGTGTTACAATTAGCAACAAATCCAATAATAGCATGAAAATGAGAATTACAAAAATGAAATAAAGACATTATTCAGATAACTGTGGACAGCAAAGAACATATTTAGGTGTCTTTTGGTAATTTTCCCACAAATGATATAACTTAAATCCTTCAACAACAGAACATAAATGGTACAAGTTATAATGAAGCATAATCTATAACGATCACAATAGAGAAATCCAGTTAAGCATTTCTAACCTGAGGTATCCCAAATAAACTAAATAGAACAAAAGGGACATAAAAAGACAACCAAATTTTGTACCTTAAAGGCAGCAGCATAAGCAGCTTGTAAATTGGACATCCCTTCGAAAGGCATGCGATTAGTTAGTAGCTCCCACAAAACAATTCCAAAGCTATAGACATCAACCTTGTTGTTGTAATGCTTTTTCTCCCCTTGACGCAATGTCACAGTACTGTACAACTGTATAAACACAAGCTATCATAAGAAAATTTTAACAGAAAAAATGCCTACATATCACATGAATCCATAATATAGCCATACAAGACAGGATCACGAGTGTTAATGCTACCATTTAGTTTATTCAACAAATAATTTGAGTTTCACTTCAAACTAATGTGCCCCCCTGAAGGGTCCTAAATGTGTACTATTGGCAGAAATCACAGGACAATGTATTACAATGCAATGGATTTATTTTTTTATGGTCAAGGGAAATTATTGAACTTACTTGACATTTGTATTAAGCTCTCTCCTTAAAAGAAACTTAAAGAAACAAGATGATAACAGTGGAATGAAACTTACTCAACTGAACAAATGAAAAACAACTATTATCACACTACAGGTTACTGCCAATATCCCCTCAGATGTAATCTAGTGATTACACAAAATCCAGGAAGAACTATATGAACTCTTATCAGTTCTAGACTGATAAATTGCTTTGTCCATCTTTGTGGCAAACCCCAACACATCTAAACTCAAATATGCCTGTTTATATCATTGCCAGTCTCTGGTGTACTGCATGTAAGTTCAGTTCTTTGCAATCATCCATCTTATCATTTTAAGTTAATTGCAATGATGAATCAAGATAATAAGCACCAAATAATTACACACTTTATTGGGCCCTTTGGTGCACATTTTTGGAAAATAGGCAATGCTAGTGAAATGGAAAAGTAAAAGCATGCTCACATAGCAGAACACACCTCTGGTGCCATCCAACGGTAAGTTCCAGTTTCTGCAGTCATCATTTCAGTCACAGATTCTTCTCTTGCCAGGCCAAAATCAGCAAGTTTAACTGATTTCTGATTTTCTGTAAGCAGAAGATTGTCTGCATAGTAACAATTTGAAAACATTTGTTTGAGAGAGTCAGCCTAAAAATGCTAGAAATTATTAGTATAGATCTAGATATCAAACTACAACATTAATGTCAAACCTTCTATAATTAGCTATCATACAAATCAAACACACCAATCTGGAAATAAAAAGTAATGTATATGTTTTTGACATGAAGTTAACAGTTCCCTCTTCATGACTTGCAAAGAGGATAGTAAATAAGTCTCATTAAAAGTTAGAATCATAAAGGAAATTTAGCTACTAAAAGAAGTATCACAGGACAGCAGCAGCAACCAGATAAATTTATCAGATGTACTACCTGTACTATAAGAAATAACAATTTCAGGTACTAAATTTGCTAAAGCACATCCTAATACATGATTAACATTCAAGTATCATGAACAACTGTTTAAAATATTCCTTCAGTATATCAATAGATCTGTAGACATATAAGGAAGAAAAATAAAACTCTGGGACAAAATTCACAATGTTCCAGTATTGAACAGAAGGATCAGCACAACATCACAACCCAAGTACCCTAAAGCATAGTTATGAATACCACTATAGCAGTATAGCAGTGCAGAATGCCAAAGTGGCTATGGGCCGCTACAAAGTGTCAATAGTGGTGTGCTCTGAATAGTGGATGTACCAGCCACAATAGTGGCCATAGCAACACTATAGTGAGGCTCTCAAGAAAAATTCATTTTTGCCCTCAAAACAACATCAGTTCTTTTGAAAGAGGGGGGTAGGGGTAAACTTGATTTCACTCCCCTTTTCAGAATTAAAAAAATTCCTAATTGGATGTAATTTCTAACGCTTATATATACAGAGCAACACCTAAACTTCCACCAACACCCAGCCTCCTCTATTTTGTGCCACCAACGGTCCAACACCCACTCATCTCATGCAGTATTTCAGGCGACACTCACCCTCCTCTCTTTTCTCTAATTTGAACTTTGAATACCTTTGTTTTGAACTTTGAAGCCTCATCCTTCATTCATTTTTTTGTGCAACACTTTTTATCAAATCTTCAAGATGCCTTGTATTTGAAATATGAATGACTTATGAATTTTGTTTACTTGATTTTTATTGGTATTTACTTGTATGTTTTGTTCAAGACCTACGTCCTTTATTGTTAATTGTGAACATAATATGTCATGAATTTTGAATTTTTTTTTGGTTATATGCACATAGTATAAATTATTTAATCTGTATATAAAAATTCTGAATAGCGATCATCCCACAATGTGCTATCCCTCCATCGATTTGGAGTCAACCACCACATGCCATAATCCATGATAACTACACCTAATCCATAGAATCCAAAATAAAACAACAAACATTCAAATAAAATCAGCCATTATAGATAATAAGTTATGTACAGTATGCATTAGCATACAATTAACCATTACAGATAATGCATTATACACACATAAAAAGTACCAGGCTTCAGATCTCTATGTATGATTCCATTGGCATGCAGCCAATCCATAGCTCGAGCAATGTCAAGGGCAAAGTTTATAGCCACATAAAGGTCTAGTTGTTTAGGGCGTATGGCAATCAAATATTTTCGCAGCGACATGCCAGGCAACAGCTCTGTAACAATCGCCATCAGGGGATCCTTACAAGCTCCAATAAACTGAAAAAATCAAATGCACTATCTTTAGCAAGTGGCATCCATTAGTCATATAGTAGCACAAAGGACAAAAGACCATATCATATACACATCGACAGGCCTTCAGTTAAACAAATACCGACAAGGCAGACATATCCCAAACAAAGGCACTCCACTCACCTTAACAAGATTCTCATGGTGGACACGAGACATCATATTAACTTCCCGAGCAAAACGATTTTCAAGGGAAACTCTCTCTTCTGAAGTGCTCCCGCGATTTAGAACTTTAATCGCAACAATCCGATCTCTATACCTGGAAAATTATTAATCTACACCTACATAAACTAGGAGTCCAGCTTCCAGCAAACCACTTGGGGTATACACACACACAATTAAACAGTTGAATTGACAACCCCATATGAATAGTCTTTTATACAGTATCCATAAATAGTGACATTATTGGAACACAAGTCAAATGTTAAGAGTTAGAAATCAGCAGTTCTTTAGTAAAATCTCCAAATTTATATGAAACCATGGCAAACATAGACCTCTCAGTTGTTAACCAAAATCCGAATACAACAATAATTCCAGTAGATATTATACAATTATGAATTTATGATTGAGTTAACTGAGCTGATTCCAGGTTAATACATAATTGTCAAGACCAAACTGTGCACAATTACCACTAACTACATAATATGTCCACGAGAATTGACAAACCAAAAAGTAAAAATAAGAAAAAAAATTTAAAAGTTTAAACCAAAAATCATCACATCCAAGGCTTTGCCACACTGACCTTCCTTCATAAACCCTCCCATGAGCTCCTTCTCCAATCTTTGTCCCAATAAACAGTAGTTTGGGGTCAACCAGAAGATTCTCATCAATTGTTAGCTGCTGATTTTCAATTGAACCGTTGCTTTGCCTCACTGATTTTGATTCCAATCCCACAGAACTGTTCTCCTCATATTCCTTCTCTTCCCCTCCTCTTTCCGTTTCACCACAACTCATACTGCAACCTTAAACTATAACTCAATTCCTCATTTCAACGGTTACCAAAAACAACAAAAAAAGAAGAAAACTTTCTTCAAATCCAACAAAAAACAAACCTCCCCTGAATCTTCCTTCCCACATAGATAACACCTCCAAAGAAAAAGGAAAAGAAAAAAAAAACTATTTTCTATTAAACAACTAAAAAATCCCCATCATCCAAAATAAATCATGAACGGCCACAGCTTCTTCAAAACAATTTAAAAATCCAATCTTTTCTATTTTTAGTGTTCACCCATGAAGCATGTTCCCCTCTTTCAAACCTTTGCTTCACTGAGAAGCTGATCAAAGTTTGAAGTTCATCCAAAGAAACCCATTAAAGACAAAAAAAAAAAAAGAAAAAAAAAAAGAAGAAGAATTAAAATACAGAAAAAAATGGGAAAATAAAAAAGAGCAACTTACTATAGACGCTAAGAAAAATTTCTCGGAAAAATTTACATCCAAGAAAATCGTCAAAAACCACTCCTCCAAGTTAATGTTTTGAAACTGTTTTCAAAAAATAGAAAAGCAAGTAGAAAATTGGAGTTCAGTTTCTCTCTCTAAAAATGGTGTCTTTTTCTTTCTGACTTTCTCTTTCTACCCACCAACTTGGAACTCCGATGAAGGCATATTAGTTCTTACGAGAGAGGGTTCAAAGTGTATCCAAAAAATGCTAAGTGTTCGGCGACTAGTGATGTCTTGAGAGAGAAAAAAAAACAAAAATAAAAATAATAATATATTATCCTATGATAAAAAAACACGTGGCTAATGGGATGACGTCAGCGGTTTGGACGTTATTGGTTGGCTTAAACGGCTTTGAGCCTCTTATCCGTGAACAAAATTTCCATATTAGTGTAAGAGTAACCCTAAATCTAGTAATTATTTTAGCCTATAAATTATCTTATTTTTACAAGAGTAATGCATATTTTTCTATAAAAATATAAATTAATCAATTAATATTTTTTTAAAAATACGTGTCACTTTTGGGTAAAAAAATTATAGGATAAAATTATAAAAAAAATTATCATTTTTTATAAATAATATTTACTTATTCAAATTCAAGTATTTTATTAAGTTAAATAATGCGTAAAATGAGAAAATAAAATTTTATATATTTTAAAATTAAATTTAAATATTTTATAAATATAATAACTTAAAATTAGTAGTTTATAAATCTTACATATTTTTTCAAATTTTAGAGAAACTAAATCCGATTTACTTATTTATAGTTATTATTTTAAAAAATAATAATATTTATTAATACAATATTTAAATGAACTATTTTAAGTATTTTTAAAATTAATATAAAAAATGAAAAATGTAACTAAATCTATTATTTATAGTTAGAGATGATAAAATTCGTTAGTTGAAATATTTAGATTAGCTAATTTCAGGTGTTAGAACTTTAATGATTCAAGTTAAAAAGGTTAAAGTTCAATTTGATTTCATAAAAATAATGTTCAACATGATTAAATTATAGTTTATATTGCATGTTTAATCTACATTTGACTTTGACCGAATTAATTTAAAAAGTTTGAATTTAATTTTACTCAGAATTTAAAGTTTAAATTCTACATTATATTAAATGAGGGACTATTTTGGTTTAACGGACTCATTTTATTGGCTCTATTTATATGTTTTATTTTTAATACAAGAGTTAATTATGATTATTTTATTTACTAATACATATTTAAAAAATAGTATAAAGATACGTATCCATGACCATAATATTTTATGACGCGTGGATATCGATATTAAATAAATATATGTAAGAAATCTGGAAAGTACTTTTTAAAGACTTCAGTAAATAATTATTCATCACAGTATAATAAACATTGGCTTCCGCACATGCCTATTGTTATTTATAAGCAGTCACGAGTTTTTTCTACTTTATGTAGTCTTTTTTGTTTTATAATACATGTTTTGAATTTAGACGTCAAATTAAATTAATACATTTTTATTTTTTATTTTAGTTATAATAATAATTTAATCAGTATTTTAATTATTTAATAAAAATATTAACACAGTAATTAAAAAATAAAATAATATTTAAAATTGTTAAATACTTATATTTTTATTATTGGTAAAATAATAGTTTTAATTGAAACTAATTATTTATAAATTATATTTTTTGTTGTTTTTATATAACTTTGTAAAATTTAGAAAAGATTTATACTCTAGTTTTGTAACCTTTAACTAGTGGATATTTGTTAGAAATACTAAATACATTATCTTAATTATTTTTTAGTTATTTAAAATTACTTCAAATATGACAAATATTTTTAAATTTTTTTATTTTATTTATATGTCTTTAATTGGATTTTTTTTTTAATGATGATGCTTAGAAAAACTTTATAAAACACAATAAGTGTTTGTTTGTTTATTTAAATTGAGTTTTAGAATTAGACTTGAGTTTTGGAATTTTAACTACAATTATAAATTCTAATTTATTGAACTTTTAGCATAGCCAAAACTAATATTTCTAATTCTTAACCTTTATTCTCTAAGTTATAAATTTTAATTTTACTCTATATTGTTAAACTACTCTTTTTTTTTTTTTCTTACTTTTGACATTATCATCATCATTATTATTAATATTACTATTTTAACATCGCTTAAATTATTTTTGTTATCAATATCGCTTATATGTTATTATTATTAAACTACTACTACTACTACTATTATTATTATTATTATCATTATTCTTTTACTATTAGTCACTATTTAGAGATGCTAAATTAAAATTAACATTTAAATTAAAATTATAATGTTACATGTCATGTATTCAAACATAAAAAAAATTATTTCAACCCTATATATCCCTATAAAAACCACTTAAGATCTCTCTCCACTTGTCCAGTGAATTGATCCGTTGTTAAAGAGTAAATTTATACCATCTTACTCTTATACTATTTTATTTTGCATAAAAATTACTTTTTATTTATTATAAATATATTTAACCTTCTTAACTCCTCATAATTCATTCTATATATATGAAAGACAATTTTTAAACACCATCATCACATTCTAATTTTTCTTTAGCACACTTACATTTTCTCGTAAATTTAGGTTATTTAAGGATTTATATATTTCTTTTAAAATACATTTAAATTAATACAACTGTTTGTTAATAACAAAAAATAATAAGTTTATAATTTTTAACAGTTAGCTTTAGAAAAAAATTGTTAAATAGCATTCAACTTATAACTACTAATAATTTTATCACATATTTACTTTTATCCTTTTAAATAAATTACACATAGGTACGGAATTTAAATCTCTCTCTTCACATTTAATTCTAATATTATATATTATATTAATATAATTACTTTTCAGTTTTAGTCAATTAATATATTTTAACTAATTTTACTAAATAGCTCTAATTCAACTAGCTAATTTTAAAGTTATAGGTTTTAAATTAACTTGTCAATTATAAATTATATGTTATAAGCTTTCGGTCAGCTAGGTTTATCAAAAGGAGCAAAATTTATTATTATTATTTTCTCAAATACACCGTTTTTTATTCAACCAACAAGAAGCATGATATGTTTTTTTTTATAAAAAATTAGGATTATGGACCTTTAACCCTACATTAAAGTTTAGATGTAGATTTAAAGTTTCATCCGTTAAATACACCCTTATAGTAATAAGTACTTTCATTTGTTGTCCATATAAAGTTTAGCCTCTCAAAAACACAACGTACGCTCCAGTTTTAGGTTAGGTAATGAATTAATTTTATAAGAATTTTAAGGTAAATTGAAAAGAAGCATTTGTATGTTTTCCATAACACATTGTTTATTATTAAATGTGTAAATTAATATTAGTCTCATCGAAGAATGACTTGAAAAAACGCATGTTTGGCTTATATTATTTTTTCCAAAACACAATTTGATTATATTTTTGTTTCTAAGATCTAATCTTAAAACCTTCTATTAGAGTCCGGCTTTGCTAAAGAAATTATTTATTTAATATTGTCATTTTAAATATTAAAATAAATAATGATTTGTACAATATATAATTTCGATGATTAATTTGATAATTTGCTAAAAAAATTCCAACGTATATATATGTTTTGCGAAGAAAAATAGACATTTTCTTTAACTATACGGTGCTTTAAATTTTCCAGTGTAGGTAAATTTGCTGACACGATATAAATATTTTTCTCCATTGATAATAATAATAATAATAATAATAATTTATTAATATTATTAATACAACAAGAACGTGGTTTATATATAGTAGTAGTAGATGAAGATAATTGGTGATTATATCGGAATGGTCCATTCTAAATGCAGTGGTCTTTTTCAGGTCACTTTCCATTATTTTCCTTAATTTAATTGAATGGGCTAGTAACCAAAACACATGTTTAACGTATTTTTCAATTTAACAAGAAAAGTACATAACTTTCTTTAATTAATAATTTTGACTTTTGCGTCAATGGGCTTCAATAAGTTAGCGTCCAGAAACATAATTTTCAAATTGACAATTAAATTTAATAGCTGAGGGACCATTTTTCTTGTCTTAGTGCTAGCATTAGCAACCAATCAACGTACGAGAGAGGTGGATAATAAACCAGCGACACAAAATTATGTAGCTGAGGACCAAACTCTACCAAACAACATAGACTTAATTGATCATCACATACAACCTTTACGAGCCGATCAAAGCCAGCCACAGCAAAATCACAAAGCTAAGCTTATTGTGTAGATCGATGCCACCATGCAATTTCATCATGTGAAGCACAAGTGCAAGTGCAAGTGCACAAATCAACGAAACACTTTATAATATGCTTATGCTTAGTGAAAGAATACAACTCCATCGAGTTTCCCAAAAGCAGCTTCAAAGCCCAATTGCATGTCCCCATTCTTAAGTTAGTTTTCAGACCAAAAGAAAAAACCACTTTAGTTTGTACTAGCTATATTTGATTCATTATTTTTTCTGCATGCTTTTTCTCTTGTTCACTCGTTCAGATTTGGTGATAATGAAAATCACTTTTTTTCCTTCATATATATAATATAATATGTATGCTTTCAAGAACTTGCACTTGATGTACCTAACTAAATGTTGCTAATTTGTTGATTAGTTATTTACCATGCGATATTCTAATTCTTTTTAAACTTGTAAGATTACGTTTAAGGAAGAAAAAAAAAACATGTCACCAAACTATTCATATCATTTACATATGTATATATAATCAATTATAATTGGCGTATGATCATTAATAGTGATTAAAATTCGTTAGTAATGTGAAGTTATTAAAGATAGTTGATGGTAAAAAAGATTGCTGAAAATATAATCGATTATAATAATTGTCAATGATCACAGAGTAAGTTATCAGTAAAATTGGTGGCTCAATCATCAGTAAATGGGGAGATAAGAAAAAAGTCTCAATATTGACAATTTAACATCAATAAATTATTGACAACTAAACTATCGAGAGATTATTCATTATTTGTTAGTTAGTAAAAAAAATGACTATCAGTTATTCCCAACAAATAAGTTGTCAACAATTTATAAATAATTTGTGATATATTTTGGATATTTTTAAAATTAGACTATAACATTAAATAATAAAAAAGAAGCAAAATGATGTGATATTGATTTGTTTTACATTCTTACCAGGCGAAAAATACAAAAATATTAAGAACAACGAAAATAGTAATGCCCATAATCAATACTTTGAAGTCAATTTTTTCTTATTTGGTTTAATTATAAATTTGATTTCTGTATTAGATGTATTTTTTATTTTAGTCTTTATTTTTAAAAAAATTAAATTTAGTCCTTATATAAAAAATTATTTATGGACCATTTTTTTCATTTATTAAAATTAAAATAGTATTAAATTTCATCTTTATACTTAAAACTATTTTTCATTTTAATCTCTAGATTCGTACTTTATTTTAGTTCTTAAATATAAAAATTTATGTTTAGTAATTGATTTTCGTTTTATTTTTTGAATGAAAAAAAAATACTAAATTGTTATAATTTCAATTAATAGTAGGATTAACTAATAACTTTTTTTTTCATATAAAGACTGAAATAAAAAAAAAGTCAAATATAAAAGCCACATTTATAATTTAACTATTTTATTTTTATTTAAATATTTTATATATTTTTCTTTTGTCAATCATACAAATCGCTATCATGACAAACTTCTTTTGCATTTTCATTAATTATTGGATAGAATTTATAATGAAGGAAATAAATCAAGAAATTTGAAGTGGAGGAATCAACTGCACGACATTAGAACTAAAAAGGCCAAATCCATCAACATAACAATTAAAATTAAAATCACAAGTAGATTATGATCTAATAACGAAGAGCAATTAAAAATAAAGGTACAAAAATCAAACAAAAAGTATGGAGATAATAAATGAGTTGTTCACAATGTAAACTTTTCTTATGTACATCACAGTGGATATATGCATGAGGGAAAAGAATGAATTAGGACCATGTTTTTATTGCCTCACATATTGAATGAACATTAATAAAAAAAAACTCATTGAAGAAGATGACTAGCTAACTGAATTGTAAAATCTCATTGATCAGAACTAATCAACCCACTTTCCTCATCATTTACATTTTCTTGCTCTGTTGTTTTCTGAGCTAATTCCACTGCTCTCTTAGTTTGTTGCCCCCAATCTGTTTGAATCAATGTGTATACCATCATACAAACACAAGAAACCTGTGCTGCCAACATTCCATACCACAAACCCACAAATTCATATTTGTATATGAAGGTAGCAAAAATAGCAACTGGCAACCCAATTAGATAAAATGCACATAAGTTTATTCTAGCACCCACTTTAGGCCTCGCAGTCCCTGCCAATATCCCACATGAAACTGTTTGAGACCAATTACCAATCTCACATAACCCAAGAACTGGAAGTATAGTGGTGACCATATCAACAATTTGTTTCTCATCAGTGAAAAGTTTTCCCAATGATTGTCTAACAGATATCAACAAAATGAAGGCAAAGATTCCCAAAGTAAATGCTATCACAAACCCAATTATGGCTGTACTTTGGGCCTTAGAGGCTTGCCCTGCACCTAATGAGTGTCCAATTCTTGTTGTCAAAGCTATACTCAAAGAAAATGGGAACACATATAAGAAGCCAAGTGTTTGAATAAGTATTCCCATAGTAGCAATTGTGGCTTGTGGGTTGCTTAACAACCCACATAGAAAAAGCATTATCTCATACCACCACCACTCCAAGCACACAGAAATGCAACTAGGCAATGCCAAACTTAGCAACGGTTTCCACCCTTGGAATGATGAGAGAATTGTTGCTCCTTGCCAAGGTTTCAAGGGTTTCTTTGAGTAAAGAAGATATACCAACAAGCCTAAAGTCATGTTTATTGAATTCAAACCAGTGGCCAATGCAATGCCTTTTACTCCTAAATTTAAGTATATGACCAAGAAATAATTAATGGGTAGGTGTAATAATGCTGCACAAGATGCAGCTATAGTCACTGGGGTGGTTAAGCCTTGGGTTCTTAAGAAAGACCTCAATGGATTAAGATGAGCTTGAGCTAGCAACTCTGGAATAGAGAAAACCATGTAAACTTGGGCAATTTTTGTGACTTCAGGGTCTTGACCTAGCATTTGAAGTATCGGTTCCATGTTTAGCCATAAAATTGAAATAGCTATGGCAACAACAAGGAGGAGACATAAAGTTTTGAAAAAGGTTTGGCTAAGAACTGACCATCTCTTGGCTCCATAAGCTTGGCAACAAATTGGATCCATTCCCATAGTGAGTCCCTTGAGGATTGAATTAGCTGTTATGTTGGCAAACCCAAGTGCAAGAGAGCCTCCAGCTAACTCCACTTTCCCTTGTCGACCCAAAAACAACATGGACACAACAGATCGAGAATACAACATTAGGCTAGTCATTATAATAGGACATGAAACCTTTGCAAGCGATTGCAACTCTTCTTTCAACTGCATGCAATTACATTTTTCACACTTGTTAATATAGCAGTTTAATCTACTAATTAATCTGAATATTTCCCTACCATACAATAATGAGATCTTACAATAGCTTCGATTTCTGTTATTTTAAGTAGGGATGAATAGTATGATATGAGCTTATCACAGTCTATTAGTTAAATAAAAATAAGATTAAAAAATATAAAAAAAATTCTATTTTCATTAAATAAGCCTGATGAAATTATTCTTGAGTTTGATAATGATTTTTTTTTTCGAATTAGAGTGTGTTAAAACTAAGTATTAAATTTGAACATTTATACCACTTAATATTTTTTTATAAAATTTAAGATTGATTATTAAATATTTTATATTATCTTTATGATAGTGAATATGAAATTTCACATAATTTATATATTTATAGATATATTATTTAAAATTAAATAATTTTTACTTATATTTTAAATTTATATTTCATGTTAAAATAAAATAATGTATGAAATATCTATTAATTTTATTTTTTTATAAAATTTTATAAAGTTAATTTTTTATAAGAAATTTTAAGTTAATGATTATATTGAAATGATTTTATTCGGTGTTAATAAATCTCGACTCATTTTAATTTTATCTTAATATTGAAAATTTATCATATAATTAATTTACTTTTGAATTTTGCTGTCTTTCATTTCATAACAATCTTAGTATATTTAAATAAGACAATTTTTATGGCTGAACCGACCCACCCAGGCTTTTGCTAAAAATATCAGAGGCTTGATGAGTGTCACCACACCAAAATAACATTAGGGTGACAAGCTCCTCTTCCACCACCGCTAGCATACACTCCATACTCTTATCCTTCCCCTAACACAAGTAACTGAATCCCATTCATTATCAGAGTTATCATCTGAATTTGCTGATAATGGTATCAAAATATTTTAAAAATAAAGATTTTAAAAATGAATATTATTAAAATTAAAAATATACTTTATATATTTTAAAAAATTAAAATAAGTAATTTAATTATTGATATTTTATTATATTAAATAAGAATAAATTAAAGAGAGAGAATCTTTAAAAGTAAAAAGTAAATTGTAAAAATAAAATATAACAATTAAATTGAAATTTAACTAAAAAAAGTTAAATTCTTAATTAAAATTCTTATAATAGACTAATCACAAATGCAGTTGAGTAAAAGTTGAATTATGTTTTCTTTCAGCTTCTAATAAACCTTCAATAATCTACAATAATACTCATTAAAACAAACAAGCAATTTATGGTCTCAAAGCCAGAGGGAAGCTTTTCAGTAGATACATTCATATTAGGCAATGGGTCAATATGCTTTAAATAAAATCCACAAGACAATTACTATATAATTTTTTGTCACAAGATAATAATAATAATAATAATATCGGTTTTGTAGAGCAATAATATGAATTGGTATCAAAATATGAGGAATGGCAATAATCCGTACCGAAGAAAAAAACATAATGAATCAATGCTCCTAACTGGATGTATTAAATAGGTATTTTAAGTGGGTATTACTGTGCATGGATTATTAGGGTATTCCTTTAACTGCTTTCAATACATATTCAATTTACCAAAAAAAAAAAGAGGTTCACAACCCAGTTATTAGAAGTAGGATACATAAATTTGGGGTAGATATAGAGTTTTTGCATGCACTTAAGGGTTCGAATTTTTTTTATTGAGGGTTCAAAGTTACTTTATCAACATTTTAGAATTTTTGTTTATTTATTTTAATATTAATTTTCAATAAAATCGAGTTTGTGGCCAATATTTGGTTAGATGGTTTATAGCAAGCTTAGAAATACCCTGAAATACAATAAAGTCATTTATCTATTAGTTTTGAAGAATTAGGAATTTCCATTAAATCAACGAGAAATATATAAAACTACTGCAAAACATGCTAATATTTGAAAGGAATAGGGGACAAGAACACTGTGGGATCAATAATAATATAATTGGGAGATATGGTGTGTGCTGAAGGTTTAGGTTGGAAGCTTGTGAATTGTTCGTTTCATGAGTATGGTGTACTATTTTATAAGATATGCAATTCTTATATATAGTGGCAAAAAGGAGACAAAACATAAACGTAAATTAAAAACACAATCACAGGAATGCCAAGTTGCTCCCAAATCTCTCAGACACAGGCTCTAGTTTAGGACAAGCCGCCAACAAAAAAAATCAGCAGTATGAGCATGTCTCAGATCCAAAAACTACCATGCTCCTGTTAGTGAGAAATTTGCAATTGGCAAAAGTAGAAACAAGGATATTAAAAAAATGGTCATCTTTCTTTTAAGATAAAATTAGATTGTTATCATATTTTTACCCATAATTTCTTAAATTAAAATTAATGATTTGTGAATGAATTTTTCAATATTAGATAACTATCAAAAGTAGTTTATAAATTTTTAAAAACATTAAACTAGTCAATATTTAATTTGATAACCAAAAAATATGTAAATGATTTTTTATTATATATATGGTACTTTCGTAATTCACTCGTACTCGGTATAATACAAAGAAATTAAATTACGCATTTTATTTTATAAGTAACCAGAACCAAGAAAATGAATTAGTTACGCGTAATTGTTCAGCAAAGACCATATATACATGTAGCCCAAACTCTGACACTCATAAAGCTAGTGTTTGACTGGGAAGAATGTGAAGACAAAAACAAATAAGGTGACAAATGACTTAAGTCTTTAATTTTGACTTTAGAGGATGATTGAAAAATATTATTTGAAAGAGATATTTCGACTTATAAAAGTGACTTATATTTTTTAATAAATTGTTAGTTTATTTTAACAATGTTTTGAAATAAACCTAAAAAGGTTAAAATTTGAAAATTGAATTTTTTTATAAAATAATTTTTACTTAATCTATTGAATTAATAGTTTAATTTTTTAATAACTCCATTTAACAATTTTTTTAAATAAATGCTTAATTAACCTGTTTTTTTTTTATATATATTTGGCTGTAAGAAAATAAAAGATTAGATGAGTAAAAAGAAGCATTCTACGTGTACATGCCTCTGTTATTACAGAACAACTTTAAATTGCGCAAGCAATTCATATGTCTGTAGATAACGGTTAGAATAGTTATTTAAAAATCAATTTAGTATTAATAATAAAAGGTTTCAACATTAAAACAAAAAAATTTATATTTAGTTTTTGACTTTGTAACTATTTTAATATTTTTTTATCACAATATTTATCACTTTTTTTTTCCACAATCCATTTCACACCCATTTGATAAAGGTCAATGGATGGCTTTTCCTAGAACAGTGAAGTAATATTGAAACTTAAAATACCTTGCATAGTGGGCAGTTGGTCACTTAAAAGTTAAAATATTGCCACAAATATTTCCTAATTTAAGTCCTTAAATGATAATATATTTTATATTTCATAATTTATTTTAAAATGTTATAATATACATTTAATTTTAAAATATACTTAAAATATAATTCAATGTTAATTTTTATTAGGAAAATGCTAATCATCCTTAAAATATTTAGTTAAAGAATCAACATAAATTTAAATAAACATTTACCATTTTCAATTTCTTAATCAGTATCTTAAGACACTAATTAGAAAGACCTTTTTACAAAAAAAAAGTTTTCTTATGCATTCTAAAAAATATATAACAAAAATTTATATAATTTTTTATTAAAATAATAATAATATAAAATTCAATGTATTGCTAATATTAAGTATTAAAAATTTTAATAAAATGATTATTTTTTAATTTTTAAACATGTACTCTTAAATACACGTTAAAATTTATTTTACAAAATATCTTAAATAAAAGGGGTTATGGGTTAATTATAAATTACAACTGATATATCAATTAAAAAAATTAAGCATATACTATTTAAATTAATTTCTGTTAATTAAAGAAAAACTTTTTTTCATAAGTTATATATATATATATATATATTAAAAAATTATAATTTAATTTTATGAATCATTTGTTAAATCTTGCAAACGTCTCTTCAAATTGCAGTACTCACTCAATGTAAAAAGCGAGAAAGCTCAAACCAGTATAACAAATACTAACTCCTAAAAATTGTTTCCGTGTAAGTTTCGGCATTTTCCTCTTTTTCACGTGAATGTTTTTCGTATCACTTTGCAACATAAAAAGAAAATATCTTCACAATACACTGTAAAATATCCATATAGTTCCTCATAACATTAAGTACACAAGTTATTCATTAAATTCTATACTAATTATGATGTTTTCAAAGTATTTATACCACCTTTCACCTTTTAAACAAAAAGGAACTAAAGAAATTGAAAGAAAGAAACTTGGCACTTTCCAGAACCAAAATACAATCACAGGGAGAGAGAGAGAGAGAGAGAGAGGGAGAGGTTACCAACCTCAGAGGCAGAAAGGGTAGGGAGAAGAGCAATGATATGATGATTTACGCATTGAAGAAGGCCTTGAATGAATGTGCCACAGTTGAAAGCTCTTTCGCCACCTTCTATGGTTCTCATGTTTCTATTCTCATAGTCTCTTCCTACCTTTGAAATCACAGCCTCACCATTTATATTTCCTCGAGATTCAGCACCACTGCACATGTTTAACTACTTTTGCAAAACGGGTTATTCAAAGAACCTTAACCAAAGTACAAAACAAAACCAATTTCAGAGATGGATATATGTATTGTCCACATTTTAAAACAGTGGAAAGGCACACGCATTGATCCTTCTCATTCCCCGAGAGACTAAAATAAATTAATGATAGAAAACCATATAATAAAAACTTTATAATAAATTTTTATAAAAATTATAATTCTTTTAAAATTATTATTTAATCACTTATTATTGTATATTCTTAACACCCATTAATTAGGAAAATAAAATAAATAATAGTCTTAAAAGTGATGTAAGAAACAAAATAATGAACTTGGATTTTAAATGATTGAATGCATAATATAAGGAAGAGTTTTCATTAGCCACGCAGTTTAAAAATAACTAAACCTTGACATTTCAAGAAAGATGTGTACGGAAACTGAAGTACTCCGTGGCAGTGGCATATGAAGTGTAACTGCAAAAGAAGATGGGGTTGTTTTCGGGACTTGAAAACAGTAGCAGAACCCAAACACTTTACAACTTAGTTAATCAGGGACACCCCTTAACCCTTTGTGTTTAATTTATACTTGTGCCCAATATTTTAACTAGTTAAAGAATAAATTTTAATTCTCTTACCTTTATTTTTATAATTTTAATTATTAAATAATTTTAATAAATACACAAACCCTTTTCTTTTTAATACTTATTTTATAAAATACTAAAAAATTATTAAATAAATATAACAGAGCACTTCTTTAAATAATAGTCATTGCTACTCCCACTTCACTCCCTACTTTTATTGCATGCTTGATCCAACATTTTTCTTTTATTCCTTAGCAATAATATAAAGCAGAAGTCACTATTTTGTTTATAAAAAATGAAAAAGTCAATCAATTTAATTATTTTTATGTTAATATGGCTTTAAAATGGATAAAATTGGTTGACTTTTTTACCTTTTAGGAAGGAAAATGGTGGTTTTCATTTTTCAATAACTAATCTAAGCGACTCCAAATGATTTAAAGATCAAAACGGCATTTTGCTATATTAATATAATGTTAATCGCATGAAAAAAATATGAAATATTAATAATATAGTATTTCATAAACCTTTTTATTATTAAGTTTTGTATGTATCTGACTTAAATAGAGAACAAATTTAGGTATTTTATGAGACTTTCATGAAATTCACTAAATATTAGAGATTGTATTAAAATAATGTGTTCCAAAATACGTTACTAGATAGTATTTCTCAAAAAAAAATTATAAAACAATGAAAGACTAACAAAATAGAGTACCATCTCTTTTTAGTTTTAATTATAGTTGGTGCTTCATATATAATTCAAACATTTTTAATATTGACACATACAATAAAGTCAAATAAAATATTCATGAAAATAATAATTGAACATACATTATGTAAATTATACATTTTCTGTACAATGAAGGAGTCATCATAACGATAACTTGTGAACTTTCGTCACATTCTCCTCTACCTCAATTACTTGAACCCGATTCGCACTTACACTAAAATTTTTTAAAGACAAAGCAACTCTTAAAATTTGTGCCTCGAATGAAAAGTGATAAAAGAAAAAAAAGCAAGAAAATGAATACAATATAAAGAATGTAAAGTTTAAAAGATGTACTTGAAGTAATATGGCCGTGAATATAATGGGGTGTTTGTATATTTAACGTCAACTAGGCAAAAGTGTGGTACTTGAAGATGTCCATACAACGTTGCAAGACTCAAACAAACATATTAATTTGAACATTAGAGTACAATTTTAGATTCCCACCCCAATACTTGTAACGGTTAAAAAAAGTTTTCTTGAAACACCTGGAATAATTAAAATATATATGAGGCTATTAGCATGCGATAATAGGAGAATTGTCATCATGTTACATAGTGAAAAGCACGTGAAGACTTCGACTTTAGTTTAATTAAGAGTGTATTTATGGTATTTTTAAGGGTTTGTTTGAAAAGAGGGGTTTTGGAGGGAGAGAAGGGAAAGAGAAATTTTATATTTTAAAAAAATATATTTAAAATTAATATTTATTTAAAATAAAAGATATAAATTAATATATTAATATAAATATAATGTATTAAAATTATGTATTTATCATCATTAATGGTATATGATTATTTTAATTTAAAATTAAAAAATATATGCTCTCTTCCCTTTTCTTCTAAAATTTCTTCACAAACATACCTTAACTATTTATTATTTTTTTATTAGAGTAATTTTTATTTAAAATATTTTTATTTTATAATTATATTAATAATAGAAATATTTAATACATCTTTTTAAAATAAAAATATAATAGATGGCACAAAAATGACAATATATTTTTCTTGGTTTAAATTATTTTTTTATATTCTTTCAAATTTGACTTTGGTCAATTAGATTCCTTTCCTTTATTTTTGCTATGATATCTTCACATCTGGGAATGTGCATAAGTGTAATACAATGAATTTATAATTAGTTTCTAAATCATTTCTTAACAAATAAATATAGCATATCACTGAATTTTACCAATTCTGGAGAATCTATCCTTTTAACTAATTTGAAATAAGCCTTAAGCTCAATCTCTCTCTTCTTTTTACCTAAGAGAGAGCTTAGGCTTGAGCTTGAATAATTTTACTTGTTTTTACTTGTTTATTTAGCGTTTGATTAATTTTAAGTTTATATGACTTTTAATTTGTTGCTAATCTACCAATTGTGAAATTTGATATTTTAACATTTTTTTTGTGAAATTCAATTAGCTTTAGACTAGTTGTGACTTACATTTATTTTAATTCTTTATTCTTTTATTAATTTGGGTTTGTAACTTCAAAGTTTTTTTTTTTTTTGCCTCTATATGTTGCCTTTTATGTTTTTATGTGAGTTTGTATTTTTTTTTTCTTAAATTCTTTTATACCACGGGTCTAGTTATTATTTTTATTTAATATTTTTTTTCCTTCATATTACTTTTAGGATTTGACTCTAATATTATAGTAAGATTTTAACATATGAGCTTGATCTAAGAGTGAGAGAGAGCTTGAACTTAAGCTTGAGTAGTTTTATTATCTAATATATCATAGACAATTTTAGAGTGAAGACCTCTTACTTATATAGCCTTTAGTTTGATGCTAACTTACTAATATGAGACTTATATTGAAATAAAAAAACTTATTAATTGTGCTCTATTTATTTATACTTAACCTAGATTATCAAAATATTAATGTATGATGAGCTGAAAGTTCAAAAGTTAATTGTCAAGCTTGAAATTACTTCTCATGTATATTATAGTTTCTCGCTTTTTAGACAAACCATTCATATAATTTTGTTATAGTTTGATTTGTAGTATTTTCACTCTAAACATTACACCTAAAAATATGTTTTTGGATTACATTATTTTTTTTTATCCATGGGAGCTCTAATGATTATGTTGGGCATTTTTAGATCTTCCATTTAATTTATGAAATTTGTTTTTCTCTTGTGAAGTTGTAATAAGAAAATTATGATCATTACCTAGTGAAATTTGAGGCTGTTAAGACTTTGAATCAAATAATTAAATCATCGTTATTTGTATATGTTCTTGTTTACTTCTGTACTTTGCTGTATGCTTCTTGATTTATTTGTGATAATGTTTCTAGAAAGATTAATCATTCAAATTAAAGAAATGTAAACTCACATGAGTGTGTGTAATATTGATCTAAATCATGTTTCGTCAAATAGATATATAGACCCTGGGAAACCTTTTCGAACAACTGTTGGCAGTATTAAAATACATTACTTATTAAATTAAAGTAATATAGTGAAATATGTATTAATTTTAATTTTTATAGAATTAATCTATTTAATAAGAATTTTTAATTTATAATCCAACAATATTTTTTATTTTGAAAAGATTATTAAATAATATAAATATTTAAATTCAATATATGAAGTAACTGACACAAATGCTGTCTTTCTACTTTATTGCTCATTGAAATTAGTGTGAAAAACATATGCGAATTTGATAGTTGATATATAATTTTGCTAACTTCGCCATTAAAATACCAATTAACTTGGGAAAATATTTAGAAGACAGAGTCTCAATTCCACGTATATTTCTACACAGAATTGTGGATTTTGCTATAAAAAGAATCCCAAATGAAAATAACAACACCAAAAAGAAGAAGCATTTAAAGTAGGAGTTGTGTGTCTAACAAAGTCAATGTGACAGGTGGGTCCATACTCTATGCTCCCACTCATTATTGGTTCCTTATGTTATGTGTACAATCTACTTTCCATGCATGCTTTCAGTTTTAGGAAACTCGAATATTTCCACTTCTACACTTCATTATTTTTTTATTCATGGGTAATGCCAAATTATTCCCTCCTTTATTATTATTTTTTATTTAGAGAACAGATGACGTTTTTTATTGATATTTTTGTTTATATAAAATTATAAATGTAATCAATACTGTTTTAAATTTTTATAAAAAGGTATTAATAAGTTTATTAAATAATTATAGTAAAAAAATTAAATTCTTTAAATGTGATTTATATTTTTAATAGATAAACAAGAATGGAGATAATATACACAAAACAAAGACACAACTTTGGTGATTTTTATATTCTTAAATTTACATCTTTCACTGGTGGAGATAACCTTTTCTATCGTCATCCATTGAAATGTTAGTTAGGTTCTTTTTTAAAACGATGTTTATGTATTTGGATGAAATTTGTTTTAGGGGTGTATTTTTCATATCCATAAAAAGTAAGTGGAGATAATTATAAATAATATCTCATATAATGTTAATGTTTATTCTCTTCGAACAGTTTTATACAGAAATTTTTATTAGTACTTAATATAAGTTTTTTTACAAATTTAAAAAAAATTTACATGTTTATCTTTCAATCTTACATCTTTTTAACTTCTTGACAATTAATATAATAATAAAATTTTAGCTTAAATATATTTTTTGTCTTCATATATTAATAATTTTTTTATTTTTTTATTTTTATGAATTTTTGTTTTAAT